AACACCCACATAGAGATTTGTGGGTGTGGAAAGAAGATCTACATTACTGCAGCGTATACAAAAAGACAGCGGATTAATTGTGTTGATACTACTTGAAGTCGGCGTCTCTGGTTTAATAAATTCAGAAGTTAGTTCGTCGAGGTTCCACGATCACTGCAAACAGGTCATCCCAGAAATCTTTGGTTCTGGTGCCAGTGGGAATCACGAAGAATTTCCTGCAGTGTTTGAAAAGTAGTGGAAAACTTGTAAGTCCCAACATATTCTTGAAGCTTGCAGACGCAAAGTAAAAATTCACAAAGCAGCTGTCGGCTGTGCCAGCACTAACTGCCCCACGCTAGAATTGAAACTCACTGTTAGCGCGAAAGCTGGTATTGCACCCGCCAAGGTACACGCCATTCTGAACGTAATCGGTCATTCGCCATTTTAATCCAGTCAACAAAATATGAAATCCACAGCCATCTCACAGTGTTGCACCAAGCTCTTAACTCATTAGCTGAGTATTGGAATCTTGGGACATCCAAGCCTTAAAAAGTAAAATGCAGATAATTTTTCACGCCTTTAGGCATTTTAGACATAAAGTGCTAGACCTCAACATCAACATGAAGCCGACCGCCTTTACTTCCCAGGACTTTATAACTGGTATTCTTCAAAGTCTGGGTTCGACTTGAAAGCCAAAGTCATTTAAGAAAAATGATCGGACTCCCTCAGGACCAGAGCCCACGACCATAGGATCCACAGGTAAGCGTCTGGCCGCTACAGCACGGCAACTCCCTGCAGAACCTGTTTGGAAACTAATATCTGTTCATAGCGTCAGCGGTGTGCTGGCTATCTGCCATTTTGGCCGAAGTACCCCGTTAAGTTCCCGACGCAGACGACTTGGAGGCAGAGCACTTTGCGTTGGTTTCAACAGTGGTACTGAGCGCCGACCCTTTAGTGGAAGGGTAAATAGTTGGTTAGATTTCAATTAGCCATGTTCAGTCTCTGACTAGGGAGCTAGCCTTGCCCATGTCAATATCGGCTATAATTATGGCAACAAATTGTGTTGCTATTTCATTGCATAGTTTTACTGCTAGTATATTATGTCTTCCTTGTCTGTCTGGCCGGCCAGGAACGTAAACTTGCCTGTAAAATCCAAACAACCAAAACAAAAAACCTTTCTGGTTGGTTCTGCAACGTCCTGCGTGTAATAGGCAGCTAACTGTATTACTTCATCATCATAAGTCGGCAAGTTTTTTACAGTACGTCGCTCTCTTCGCGGAGCGCCTGAAAGTAAACCTTTCCCTAGCTAGCTCTCCAGCCCCATGCGCTTTTAATGCCAATACATCTTCAATGTCCTGTATCCATCTTCGCGGTGATCGACCCCTGCCTCGCCTTCCACAAACTGCACTTTTCGTCATGTCCTTCCCAAGCCACCATGACGTTTGGTGTGGCCAAAATAGTTCAACTTTCGGGACAGGACACTGTTTATGAGCCAGTTCTCCTTTGATGTTTAACTCATGCAGAATGACGATGTATTTCCTCTTCATGATCCCTGGTATTCTGATAATTTGTCTGTAACATTTTAATTTAAAAGCTCCTATCTCTTTCTCCAGTGATTTCGTGAGAGTCCAGGAATCACAGCCATAAGTTGACACATGAAAAATGCATGATCTCAAGATTGTTACTTTAACTAATTTACTAGGGTTTTGCCATAGGTTCTTCATGCTATTCAATCTCTGAAATGCTAATGCAAGTCTTCTTACTTCTTTCGAGCAATCGCAATTGTTGTTCACTAAAGAACCCAGGATTCGAAATCTGTGACATTTTCAATTTCTTCATTTTTGATTGTGATATGTAGTTCGTGTGTTGTTGGTTTTTTTTTTTTTTTTTTTTCGAATTCGGAAAAAGATTCACTTCTTCGCTGTGCTTTTTGGCGGCCAAAATGAATGTCTAAAATTTGTACAGAATTGAAAAAAAGAGAACTGTGTCGTCTGCAAATCTGAGTTCTGGGATAGGATTACCTCCAATGTTTAGTGGATCAAAGCTCTCACATTATCTCTCTCACTGTATTACTTGCAATCGGTTATCGGGAATGATAAGGAGGGCGATGTGGTTAGTATCATGACGGTCTCCTTTACTTCCCAGGACTTTACCTTTTTAAAGCTGGGTCGACCTTGGAGCCACAGTCATTTATGAAAGAAAGAAAAAAGTCCGACTGTTGGGAATCGAACCAACGCCCGCAGGCGAGCACCACCACGGCGGCTCCTGGAAACCATCGTACTCAAGAAAATTGTTAAATGCGCTGAACAACCTCAAAGTCAAAGAGCCGCACAGACAGAAAGGCTGCAAAGACAAAAGAATAATGAATGTCTAGAGCAATGAAAACAACCGTAGCTGTCAGAACAGACATGTTAATCAAGCTGCAGAAAACAAAGAAAAGAAAGAGGGAATTTCCAGAAATCAGTAGGAGCGCTTATTGAGCGAGGGTGGAATGGTAAACAATGAATGCAGCAAAGTGCGCGCGGAAATGTCTGCAGAATCTGATCGGAAACAAAAACAATTGATATCATCCTTGTGATGATCGCTGCCTAGGCCAGTGGCGTCCCGTACCATCAGGTTACCCAGGAAAGGATCTGATTGTTTACGATATTTGATCTGGAGGAAGCGTCTAAGTCAAGCGATGTTTTAAAAGATGATCGGATTTAGTGATTTCCGTGTGAATGTCGGTAGTCACCAGCGTTGTGTAGCGGGTAGACGCTCGCCTGCGGATCGGAAGGGCGTGGGTTCCTGTCCTAGCGGAGCCGGACATGTTTCTTTTTCTTCAGAAATCACCTCTGTTCCTAGGTCGAACCAGTCTTGAGTGCGCACCAGGTATAGTCCTGGGAAGTAAAGGCAACCAGCGGGATGCTGACTACATCACCCACCAAGTGCCGGTTGGTCTATGAAATACAGTTCTAGCTTTATCATTCCAGTACGCCTAAAGGGTCCTTACTGAATTTTGTGTATATTGTTACCGACCAGGGGCGTATCCAAATTTCTGCGGGGTGGGAGACAGAGGAAGCGATATAGACACACGAAGAGTGTGTGTGAGTGAGTAGCATATTCTGAAAGAAAGGGATCGATGGACAGGTAGTATAAAGGAGTCAAAGAACTTTACTTTGTCCGACACTGCAATGGAGCAGTAAGGACGATTGCGGAAACAGGCATGACCCAGTATCATTATCCAGTTTCTTGTTAAATCCACATTTAATTCAGAATTCACGCAACCTTCAATGAGTTGTTTTATCTAACATGGTATCTGCCACCGGTATTTGCTTCAACAGCTTATTAGACTTCAGACTGGACACTGTGGTCTTCTAGCACACCTGTACAGGATAGGCTTAAAAGAATCTGCTGTCTGTGATTGTGGAGCAGAAAGACAGACCCCTGAGCACATACTGCAGTACTGCCCTTACCTCTCCCAGCAAAGACTGTGGATCTCGCCCAAGGGAGCCACATTGCAAGAGAAGCTATGGAGAACCGGTGGCGACCTGAAACGCACAATCCTATTTGTGACCCAGACGGGACTCAATGTTTAGCATGACTGATGTCGAACGCAGAAGAAGAAGATCTGTTCAGAAGGAAATGTTGTGTCCGGAGACCTGTGATGATAAAAACAAAGACAACCTTAAAAGACCAATAATATGCCAGTGGTCAGATAATCACTTATCAGGTCCCTTTCTCTTCACGGTACGACTTAGAGTCTTTCTTTGTTTAGAGTCTCTCTTTGTCTAGAGTCTCTCTTTGCTAAGAGTCTCTCTTTGTCTAGTCAGTTCTCCAGAGAAGTGTGCCTTCATAGCCAATGCATCGTCAATGTCTTGTATCCATTGTCGCGGAGGTCTGCCTCTGCCTCGCTTTCCAGAAACGCTGCCCTTCCTCACCGTTCTCTCTAGGCCACCTTGACGTGGCCAAAATACCTCAGCTTTAGAGACAGGATGCTGTTTATGAGCCAGTTCTCCTCGATGGTCACGTGATGCAGGATGTCGGTGTTATTTCTTCTTCTTGGTCTAGATATTCTAAGAATTCTTCTGTATCATTTAAGTTCGAAAGCTCCGTTCTTTCTTTCTTCACTGTTTGTGTAACAGTTCATGACTCATAGGCAAAGGAGCCACTGTCAGCTTTGAAGAAGAAGAAAAACCAGACATTTGGACCGGTGGCTAGCTTTTAGACCCATACGATCGCGGCTCCATTTGTAGTGATATTGCTTCTTCTTCTTCTTCCCTACTGCTTAAGTCTTAAAGTATCGCAGAGAGGAGTTTGTATTTTCCTGCTTTTACTTTTTTCTTAGCTACTGTTAATGTTGAATTGCATTTCTGTAGTGTCTCGTTTATTCCCTCCACCCATTTCTGTCATGATCGGCCTCTGGATTTTAGCCTGCTGCTCTTGTGTAGTGCGCTTTAGTTGTTGGCTGCTTTTGTTCCATTCGGACTAAATGACTAATCCATTTTATTCTTTGATGTATGAAATCATTTGCTGGTATTGTGCTGACCTTTGTACTGAGTTCCTCGTTGGTGACTGTCTCTGTTTGTGTTTCCCGCCTCATTTCATATACGATCTCACGTGTTGTAATGTTGCGTTTCTTGTTCTGCCGTGTCTGGCATTGATAGCATAAAGTTGATACTAATGTTAAATTAAAAATCGACATCACAGCACTCGGGACACCCCCCCCCCCCCTTCTCAACAAACAAAAAAGCGCTCCGTTCCCATCTTCAGCAGCAAGCTACAAGTTAGAATTCCGATGGCACCAGTAACTGTCTGATTGTATATCCGTCTCGCCTTTCCCCTGAATGTCGAGTGTCAGCCAGATCCCTTTGAAGTTTTTACGAATATTATTAATTGTTGTATTTTTTTTTTTTTTTGTGCGTGTTGTTATTTTAATGCCTCAAACGTGGCGCTGTTTAGTAATTTATGTTGTCGGCCTTCCGTATTTGGTTTTCTGTTTCTCTGTTACTACTAATCACTAGTCCGTCAAATACCTACAGGTACGAGAAGAACGAGAACAGCGCAACCCTCTAGCAGTCGTAGACCGTGAGTACTGGCCACCTTACGACCCTAACCTCATCGCTGAGGCACTTTTTGCCGCAGCCAACATCTTCAGTTCCTTGAAGCTGGTCAACATCTTCACGGTCAGCCCCTACCTGGGGCCCTTGCAGATCTCACTAGGAAGGATGGTGATGGACATCGTCAAATTTGGCTGTGTGTTCTTGCTGGTGCTCATCTCCTTCGCCTGCGGGCTCAACCATCTGTACTGGTACTATGCCAGTAAGCAGGCCAGTGACTGTGCTGCGGGGAAGAATATCACTATCACTTGTGATAGGAAATATAGGAGCTTTGCTAAGTGAGTACTTCTTGTTGCTTCATCAGCTGTTGCTACTGCTGCTTTGTTTTCTTTTTCATCTTCCTCTTCTCATCTCTTCTTCTTCTTCTTCTTCTTCTTCTCTTCTTCTTCTTCTTCTTCTTCTTCTTCTTCTTCTTCTTCTTCTCCCTTTTCTTCTTCTTCTTCTCTTCTTCGTCTTCTTATTCTACTCCTCCTTCTTGTCTTCCTCTCCATATTACTAATAGTATTATTTCATCATCCTACAGGTGATTTTACTTTTCTTCCTCGTCGTCCTCTTCACATTCTCTTCCTCCTTCTCCTCCTTCTTCATTTTCACTTTTGTGGCTGTTGCTTCTCTTTCACTATCATCCATTTTTTGTTAAGGGATAATCGTTTAGCAACAACAAAAATATCCTTTTACCAGATAAACCTGGACATGATATCATAATCATGTCGCCCATAGCTTTCCACACTTTTCATGTCCTAGACTCGCATTGTAGACAAAAATAATTTCGCGACACAACAATTCAGCTCACTTGCCCATCAGAGGTTAAGCTAACTTCTTTAGAAAAGACACGACCCATACATAAATTACGTTCGCACGACACACCTTCACACTGCAGTTGAGGCACTATCATGACTGCACAATTTGGAAAGCTCTGGTTCAGCAGGTTCATCACTGAACCTCGCTCCCAACATAGCACATCTGAAAAGTTGGTTTCTCACCAGTTCTCTCGCCTCGTGCACTTTTCTGCTGAAGGTGTTTTTGTTGTCATGTGGCTATTTACGCACTGTCACCCACCCACTCTTTTTTCCTGGCCCCCCTTTCTACCCCCAGCCACAACTATTCTTGCCAACATATTTCAGCTTCCAAGACAAGATGCTGTTTACGGGCCAATTTTTCTTGACTAAGATCTTTTAATATGTCAGGATGCTTCTTCTTCTTCTTGATCTATGCTATTCTAAGAATCTTTGTATATAATTTTAATGCGGAAACCCTCGTTTTCATTCTTATATGGTTCAAAACTTACATTACTACAGGAAAAATGCAAACACATTAGAGGCAGATACCTGCGATGTGAAATACTAACCTTTCTTCATTCACTAGCATGTGCCTCGCTGGAGGACCTCGCTGCCATAACTGGAAACCTTTATCCTGAGCTTGTCCTGCGTCTGATACAACATCTGGAGAAATCTGCCACATCCTGCACCCAGTTCCTCTTCCTCTCTTCCCATGCATATACCTTTATTTTCTCTCTAGACGACGTTTCAAGTAAAAAAATATTTTAATTTTCTTGTTTTATATTGTCTTTATCCAACCCTCTTCAATATTCAGCTCTTGAAGTATGGATGCTTTGTTCTAATATCTTAGACAACACCTTTACCCAAACCAGGCGTATGTTGCATGGAATGCATGCTCTTAAAAATCTGATTTGTCAAATACTAACCTTTCTTATATTCTAGTGCGCAGAAAGTTTTGTGATCACTTTCCGCAGAAAACAATAACGAGATAACTTTCTTGTGCGATTTGGACAGGCAATAACGAAAACGATGGACAGAAGATAGAAAAGGGTACGTGTCCTAGAGAAACCTGAAGGACAATAGAAAAGGGAAGGAAGAAACCCAGAACCCACATAGGAAATTTTCTTCTTTAACTTTTTTTGTTTGTTTATTACTTAACCTAATATGACATCTCTGGAGTGTGTTTTTTTTTTTCAACTCCTTTTTGGACACTGTTTTCTCATTTAACTTATCAAAATCTATTATTTATTACTTTGATGGGCCAACTCCCCGGGACAGTTTTTACCGAGCACTTGCATCTCTCTGTCTCTACACCTTTATTTCCAGCCTGTTCGAGATCGTGCAGTCGCTCTACTGGGCCATCTATGGGCTTGTAGACCTGGACCACGCGGAGCTGCAGCCTCGATTCAAACACGAGTTCACTGAGTTTGTGGGCAAACTCATGTTTGGAGTCTACAGCTGGATCGCCTTGATAGTCCTACTCAACATGCTGATAGCTATGATGAGTAACTCGTACCAGCTTATCTATGTAAGTTCTTCTTCTTCTTATTCTCTTCCTCCAACTCCTTCCTCCTCTGCTTTCCTCCTTCTTTCTCCTCCTCCTCCACTTTCCTCCTTCTTTCTCCTCCTCCTCCTTCCTCATTCTCCTCCTTCCTCATTCTCCTCCTTCCTCATCCTCCTCCTCTCCTTCTTCTTCTTTCTTTTCTTTCTCCTGCTCCTTCTCCTCCGCACCAACATCATCATTTTCCTTTTCTTCTCCTGCTGCAGCTGCTACTGCTAATGATTCTGCTGCTTATACTTCTCCTTTTTCTTCACGTTCGGCGGCTGTACACTCCGACGGCAATTTCTGGTTGTTCATCCACCTCTGGACCTTAGTCTTGTTCAAGAACCTGAGTTACAGATCTGACTTATTTGTAAGCAGACTGCTGGTTCATTGCCTCTCAGACGATGCAGTCCGACTTCCAAGCAAGCTCCCAGTAACTCGACTGTAACGACAAGCTTTTTGGGGAGACAGTGGGTCTATTCTTGTGTTACCCACAATGGAACTCCGGAACCCACACGGGGATAATTACACTATTACTCTACATACCTCTATTTCTACTACTAATGCTGTTACTTGAAATACTATCACTATTTGTAATGCTACTATTACTGCTGCTCCTTCTTCTTTCTTCTTCTTCTTCTTCTTCTTCTTCTTCTTCTTCTTCGTCTTCCTCTTCTTCTCCTCTTCTTCCTTCTGCTTCCTGTCCTTTTTTTCTCCGTCTCCTTCTGCTTACTCTTCTTCTTCTTTACCTTCTTCCTATTTTTCTTCCTCCTCTTCTTCTTTTTCATTATACCAACTGTCGATTTCCTGTGTTAAATTTACTGTCTGTGTGTGTGGTGTGTGTTTAAGAGAAAGAAAGAAAGAGAGAGAGAGAGAGAGAGAGAGAGAGAGAGAGAGAGAGAGAGAGAGACTATCCAGTTCTATGCAGCTTTACGTATGTTAAGATTTAACCCGAAATATATTTGTGTAAATGTGTGAAGATAATAGCGTAACTAACATTCATTCCATGAAGGTCCAAAATAACGTTGTATACATAATCTATTTACATGTCTACTTGTTAATGTTTTTTCTTCCTTTCTTTCTCCTCCTCTTTAACCGCTTTTTCGGGATTGCATTATTTTGACTCTTTGCTATTTTATCCCTAAATGTCATCGGATGGATTCATTTTTATTTTATAGAGTCAAGCAGATGAAGAATGGAAATTTGCTCGCTCCAAGTTGTGGATCAGTTATTTTGAAGACTGTGGAACGTTACCCCCTCCCTTCAATGTGATCCCTAGCCCCAAGACTGTCTACTACATTGCGACCTGGATCAGGAACAAGCTGTCCTCTTGTTTTTGTTCCAAGCAACAGAAGCACAACAGATGGCAGAGCATCAAAGTAAGTAAATTAGTTAACCCTTTTTACACCCAACCTGGCAACTGCCCTTTCCACACTCTTATAACCATGGAAACTTACAGCACATTTATTGGTTCCAGTTTATAAAGTACTGTCCCCGTGTAGGTTCTGCCAGAGGGGGAGATGGACGCACAGCCCCCCCCCCCCCCTGCCCCCCCCCCCCGCACCCCATCAAGCGTGTTGTAAAAAGTTACTAATTAATGTTTGTTCAAACTGGATGTATTGGACTGAAAAGGTACAGATACTAAAGACTAGTAAGAATAAGAAGAAGATGATGATAATCATGATCATGATCATGATGATGTAGAAGAAAGAAAGACAGATTGACAGACTGAACAAAAGAAAGAAAGAAAGAAAGAAAATGAAAAAAAGAAAGAAAGAAAGAAAATGAAAGAAAGAAAGAAAGAAAGAAAGAAATCGAAAGAAAGCAAGAAAATGAAAGAAATAAAGAGTGGATTGATGTGGAAAGAAAGAAAGAAAGAAAGAAAGAAAGATAGAAAGAAAGAAAGAAAGAAAGAAAGAAAGAAAGAAAGAAAGAAAGAAAGAAAGGAAAAGATGGAAAGAAAGAAGATGATTACTATTTGATTAATTTACACATATCGTTGAATTTAAAGAGTGTTTAAGAGCTAGGTGATCAACTTAATTATTGAACTTTTCTTAATTGACCTTGGCTCTACAGGAAAATGTCTTGGGAAATAAAGGTAGATGGTTTGATGTGACCACCATTCGAGGCCAAGCCGGTCTTAAAACAATATAGGTCCACATCATATGGCACACAGAGGCGTGAAAATTGTCCCCAGTCAGCAGGTTCTGTACAGAACGTTCATCACTTCAAGGGGATTCCCCGAACATCTCGCTGGCTCTAGCCATTCTCCAGCAGTAGGCGTTTTCATGACCCATGCATCTTCAGTCTTGTATCGTCCATGTTTGCAGAGGTCGGCTTCTGCTTTGTGTTCCAGAAACTGTACCCACGATCATCTTTTTTGATTTTTGGTTTTTATTTAAGTCACTTTGGCCAAAATAGCTAAGCTTTTGGGATAGGATGCTGTTGGTCAGACAGTTGTCCTCGATTCAGATCACGTACGATGTCGATGTTTTTCTTTGTCTTGATCCACAGGATTCTATAAATTTAAAGTGTCTTTTACTTTCATTTTTTTTTTAAACCGAAAAATAAAACAGTTTTTTTTTTTTTATAATTTAATGTGGTGAGAACTCTTTTATGAGGACTGGAAAATGTAATTAAAAAAAAAAGTCGTCTGTAACTTTTTGGGCTGTTTGATGTATTAGCCTTTCTCTGCAGAACAGCTAAACGCCTTCCTACATGTCGCACGAAAAATGAACTCCATAGCCCCATGGACAATCGCCATGAACCTCCTTTGCAAACTCCACTCATAAACTGAACAGTGAGTCCCAACTGGAGAGAGAGGTTACGTTTCACTGTCTAGAATTTGCACAATCCTTACTACAGAATTTATAATTGCTTTATGTGTGACTTTTGCAGAAAATTGTGAAGAAAATTAATGAAAAAGAAATTCGGTATCAGGTAAGTTTTTTTTTTTTTTTCTGGTTTCTTGTGCTTTTTTGTTGTGTGGCTACTTTTGTGTGTATCTTCTTCTTTTTCTTCTTCTTCTTCTTCTTCTTCTTCTTCTTCTTCTTCTTCTTCTTCTTCTTCTTCTTCTTCTTTTTCTTCTTCTTCTTCTTCTTCTTCTTCTTCTTCTTCTTCTTCTTCTTCTTCCTCTTCTTCTTCTTCTTCTTTTTCTTATTTTTTTAGCCTCCTTCTGTTGCTCCTCTGCGCCTCCTCCTTATTCTCTCTCTCTCTCTCTCTCTCTCTCTCTCCCGTTTCCCTTCTACTATTACTTCTCATTCTAGAAAAATAACCCCTTCTCCCTCCCACTCTTACATCTCAGTTGCACTCCCAAAGATTATTTTCAACTCGTATCTCGCTGTACCTCATCAGAAGGTACACATACCAGATGTAACCAGCTGGCTAGAGCCAATGAAATGTTTCAGGCAATCAGTCGCACACCTGTTGTTTGTTACTTTTTTGCTCATATTTACAACGGGGAAACTGGTTTAATTTTTTTCCTTGCTGGTTGTTATCTTTGTTAGTTGGCACATTTGTTGTCTGTAAATTATATGTCTTTATTTCTTGTTTCTTGAAGGGAAAGAGGGAGAGTGCGGCAATCTCTTGCGGGCGCAGTAATATTATGCGTTAGTTACGTAACCTTTACAGGAGAGTTGCAGAACTGACCCCAGCTTTGGTTGACTCAAGCAGTTTTATGTTCAGTAGTATGTCATTACTTCCATACAAGGCATTCTGTTACCAAATCGCCCGTAGCTGGAATCCAACCGGATACATGGGAATTACGAAACACGTTTACTGTACCCAAGCCACAGATAGTATTAGAAAAATAAGCAAATGACCCCCCCCCCCCCTCCGGACAAGCATGTCGTAGGAGGTGACATTTGTGGTATTTCCTTTGAAATCAGTGTCCATCTGCCTGAGTGGCAAAGAACAAACAGTCTGCATTAAATAAGCTAGATCTGTTCATATGGTGCACACGCAAAACTATATTAGTAGAATAAAGTCAAAGTCCAGAAATTGATGAGCAACATGACTTTCCGCTGGAGTTTACAGCAGGTGAACGGTGGGGGAGGGGGGGCGGAACTGCAGTATTTAAAGTATTTACAAAATGACTTTCTAGAATTTATTGAGTTAAACACCAGTTGTTGTTGTTTCTTTCCCTTTTCTCCAATAAGGCTGTCATGCGGGACCTCATCAAACGATACATCATGCAAAAACAACGCAGCTCCCAAAAAGGCGAGGGAGTCAGCGAAGATGACATCAACGAGTTGAAGCAAGATGTGTCTTCCTTCAGGTTTGAGCTGCTAGAGATCCTTCGCAACAACGGCATGAAGACCCCGAACCCCAGCCAGACCAAACCCACAAGTAAGAAACTCAGATATTGGAAGTCACTGGTGGGCAATGTCAGTGTGGATTCTATTGGCAGCTCTGAGACGGAAGTAGATGATCGCTTTTAGCACTGGACTATAGGATTTAATTTTGGACTTAAGTTTTTGTTTTTTGACTTTCCATTCTAAAATATAAAAGTAAAAAAAAAAAAACTGTATAATCCCATTTATAACCCCAGATGGAGCAGAATATCATTGTTAAATTACTACAACCATTAGATTGCTGGAAATTATGAGTGAATGCTTTTATGTGCAAATAGGCAGTTGAATGGCATTTTTCCAGTTTTGTTTTTGGTTTCCTCTTTGTTCCTTCATTTTTCAGTTGTATTTAGGTCATTGTAGTTATTTTTATGTGTTTCTGTGTTATTATTTCAATGTGAATTTTTTTTTTTTTTTTCAGTTAATCTCTTAAAGGATTACCAGTCTTCTCTTTTCAAGTTGTTGTTCTTTTTTTCTGTTAATCTGAAAAAAATATTATTGTCCTAAAGTTGCAGCAAGTTTTTTTTTTTTTTTTTAAATGAAGCTATGAATGTCTCTGATGTGTTATACATCAAATGACATTCAAGAATTAAAACTATGGCCACACGAAACAGGTAGGTTGTGTAAAGTTATTTCTCCCCCCCCCCCCACTCCCCCACACCCAAAAGTTGGATAAAGCTGTGGCCACAAGCCACTTATGTTTGGTTATGTTGGTCTATAAAAATAAACTTCCTGTCTGTCATTTCAAGATGAATGTATGTATTGTCCAGTCATCATGAAAATCACTTGTACAAATTTATTTTTCTAATCCAAAGTTTTTAGTGCCTAACTCGTCATTATTTTAATGTATGTTTTTGTTTCTGGTAAAAATATACTTTTTATTAATTTTTACTAATTTTCAGTTAATTTTACCATATTTGTTCAAACTGCAATGTTATCAAATGCCCCATGTTTTTCAAGTGTTGTATTTTAACTCCTTATTTCATAACTATTTTTTTTTCTAAACATGGGTTCAATCTTTGATTTTATATCTAAATTTGTTGTGTATGTTGTTTGTTTTTTTTAACTCCTCTAGGATTTTAGCTTGACAGATTGAGACCCAGTGACTAAAAACACTTATAAGATGCGAATCCAACAGTGAAAATCCTAAACACTTTGTTCTACCATATGTAAGTTATATTAGGGCTCTAAAGGTAGGAAGTAACCTTCTGCCCTAAGTTGGTGGGATTTATGCTCACATGACAGAGTAGAACCGTGATAGGGCTGATCCATGTTAGAACGATCCAACAGGGACCCAAATAAGAATAAGGATCTCAAGGAGAGACTACATGACACAGTATCTCAGGAATAAAACCACGACATAAGATATCAGAAGATGGACACCCAAAAGGAAAGCCTGATCAGAACCCAAACAGAGGACCTTTGCATGTTCAGAAAGGACTGCATCGCACACACTTAGGGACAATTAGCCACAAGTACTGTCTCAACAAACCATTTAAGTCATTGAACTTGGCGCAGATAAATTCAAACCATAATTGTACTCGGCCACGCGTTGCTGTGGCTCAGTCTGGTTAGATGGAAAAGAAAAAAAAGAGAAGGCGCACGTCCATCAACTGGCCCACCCGCTTCCCTGCATAACAGGGGGAAAGCCTCTAATCACTGGCCCCTCACGTTCATTCAGAAATGTATGGTCGTGTGATCACTACATGTGTGCAATGGCGGTGAGCATATTGTTAGCAATGGCTTCCAGTGTATCTGAATATGATGGAGAACAGCTAATATTTTAGTAATCGCACTTCTCTATTATGTTTATGACATCTATATAATAGTATATGTATTAAAAACACGCGTATGCTAATGCAAAGTTGTTTCAAAATGTTTTAGCAATCAGTGAAGAACTTTCACCGATTTAAGATTTGGAACAAACAAACATTTACATTTTTACTTATATAGATTAGCATAGCCCCCACCCCTCCCCCTCACTAGAAAAACAATTTGAAAGTACCCATCATAAATTGTCTAAAGAATAGGCGCAGGTACTTACCACAAGTGTCTTTTACAGTAGTGCTGAACAGATGATGCCTAACAAAGCGATGCCAGTACTGCAAACTGCAAAAAAAAGCCCTTAATATGAGCATAATTATGCCACTATTTCTCTGATTTTCCACACACATAAAAACCTGTAACTCCTTCCTTGATTGGATGATGTATTTGATGTTTTGCACATGTCCCAAACATTGCAATATTTCCTTATGTGTTTGCACTTTCTTTTCGAGTATGAATGTACTGTAGTTTGCCTTGCTGTGTATATAACAATCATGTGGGTTGTTGGTCGCAGCTCGATGCAAGTTTTACATGGCTATTATGTTTGTTTCTAACCGCAGTGGTTAATACGTGTGTATTGCCATGTTTGCCACCAAAAGAAATTATTGGACAACCTGTTTCCTCAACCCTGTTATAATTTTCAATAGGCGGGGCCCTGTGGTTGCTTTGTGCTGAATGACCCATAAATATAATAATATATTTGAAATAATAGGAAATGAATAAACAGATTATAAAGAGGACGTTTATACATGGGTTTTTTTTTTTTTTGTATGTGTGTAGGGGGGATGGGCGTGTAACTCCTCTTGAAAATGTTCTAGGGGACGGTAGGGAGCGCCACCACCCCCCTCCTCTTCCCCCCCCCCCCCAATGGTAGTAAATATTGAGGGGATGGCTGAAGAATCGTAATGCAGTGGATACCGTCTCATTGTGGAGTGCCTGGAAATGAGAAAGCTGATCAACTGCCAGGGAAAGATGCGACAAAAGAGCAGCCGGATGTACCAGTCACATACCACCAAAAGAAAAGAATCATTAAATCGATCAGGAAACCACCAGCCCCAGCACAAGACGACTATTTTATTACCAACAGAACAAGTCATTATCCTCCGCCTCAGAATAGGGCATAACTGATTACCTAACCACATGTACACAAAATTCAAGATAAGTGTATCAGCCATGTGCACCTGTGGAAATGTGCCCCAGACAGCAAAGCATGTACTCCAGGACTGCACCGATTTTGACACATTAAGGCAAACCTTTTGGCCAGAAAGAACAACAGTGGAACGTAAACTCTATGAACCACTGAATGTACTAACAACGACAGTGAAATTTATACAAGAGACAAAACTGCTGATATAGACAACTTATTTCAGGCGAACGAAAGAAGAAGAAGAGGGGATAGCACTTTGTCCTAAATTGGGCTAGGGGTTGGTATCTCCAGGTGTTTTAGTGCCCAGGTTCCTGCAGCCACTGATGTATGTCCTTTGACTTGTTTTTGTTTGTTTACTCGGCTGTTCCATTGACAACCTACTTGTTCTGATATCTGTCTGTGTAACTTACATTTGTAGACGCTGGTGTCTACAGGCTTACAGACTTTGAGCTCCCCAACCAACAATTCGAAGGGCCCTAAAGCCCTCCCCTCCTCCCCTTTTCTCGTCTCTCGACCACTAGACAATGTGCAAAGGGGTTAAGTGACTCCCCCCCCCCCCCCCCCCCAACCAAGAATAGGCATTTTATTGTTCAATTATCAGAACATAGTGATTTTTTTTTTAAGTATTAAAAATCAAATTCTCATTATGCACTGCATCAATACTTAAGCCTCTTGATTGTGCTTACAAATATTCTTGTATGTATCTGCGTGTGCGTGCGTGCGTGTGTTTGTGTGTGTATGTGTGTGTTAGACTAAAATTGCAACCAGGAAATATTCTAGAATGTATTAGACGGTCCCAGGGATATTAATAACATTGCCCACTAATTAATCTATGACGATGCGGGGCATTGAATTGTTTACCAAATAGGTTTTCTGACGTCAAAACAAAGGTTCCTAATCAACTCTTCTATTGAGGCAGGGACACATACAGACGCATATTAACAGTGAGTGCGTTTTATATTTATATATATACACACACATATATATTTTTTTTTTAATGAAGGGGGTATCGATTGCAAAGTTAGCGTGCTGTTATTTGTTTCCTACATCTTTTTCAATACATTTGGATCTTTTCATAACAAACATCCAAACATCTGATTGTTCACATTTCCAACTTTAACCCCCGTTTGTTTGTTTTCCCAGAACTTTGGAGTCACATTTATCCACAACTTTTCGTAGTCACATTTATCCACAACCTTCTGTGTCATGTACTATGCTGTGAGCTGTTGGTAATCACATCTATCCACAACCTTCTGTGTCATGTACTATGCTGTGAGCTGTTGGTCGTGACATCTATCCACACCCTTCTGTGTCATGTACTATGCTGTGAGCTGTTGGTAGTCACATCTATCCACACCCTTCTGTGTCATGTACTATGCTGTGAGCTGTTGGTAGTCACATCTACCCACACCCTTCTGTGTCATGTACTGTGCTGTGAGCTGTTGGTAGTCACATCTATCCACAACCTTCTGTGTCATGTACTAAACTGTGAGCTGTTGGTAGTCACATCTATCCACACCCTTCTGTGTCATGTACTATGCTGTGAGCTGTTGGTAGTCACATCTATCCACAACCTTCTGTATCATGTACTATGCTGTGAGCTGTTGGTAGTCACATCTATCCACAACCTTCTGTGTCATGTACTATAATGTGAGCTGTTGGTAGTCACATTCTAGTCAACCCTCTCGTGCTTTCAATCTTTACCCTCCAACTTTTCCACCGTCACGAGGTACTCTAGTATTCTACTTCTTGCGATATGAACATGGAATGTAGATTGTTTTTTTCTGATGTTAGCAATTAGTTCTTTTTCGTGAATCAATTTCTTTCAGTACATCTTTGTGTATTTTTTTATTTTTTTTTTTTTAATTTTTATATTTTATTTCGAGTGTGTTTTTATTATTCGTATATAAACCCACATCTCCGCCACGTCCACGTATTTTTCACTAATTGCCCAACTGTCCATGATTCACTTCAGTACGTAATGAAATGATTTATAAAAATTTGGTTTCGTATCCTTTACAGGACGT